ATTCAAATTCTGGTAAGTTGTCACATTATGGAGTTTAAATGAATAGTTCTGTCATAATTTACTCACCCTCGAGTTGTTCCAAACCTGTATGAGTTCGTTCTGCTGCTGAGCACAAACAGTTGCTGGTAGCCATTGACTTCTTTAGTATTTCTTTCAATGGCTACCAGCAACAGTTTCGTTACCAACGTTATTCAAAACATCTTGGTGTTTTACAGAAGAAATAAATTCGTACAGGTGGGGGAAAAACACGAGGGTAAGTAAATGATGACGAAATGTTTGTACTTGATGAGTCGAGAATAATGAGTGGATCAGTTTGATCCAGTGACAAGCAGAAATGATAAATGCTGTGATTTTTACTCATGGACGGAACCACAGAATACAGTCATAAAAATGGAATTTACTGTACAATGCAGATTCTATCAGAATTTGGCAAAATTTGGATGAATACATTAAAAGTAGGGCTGATGTCTTTGTGTTGAATGAGTTTTACAGTAAACTGTGACTGAAATCTATTACTATTGTACAGTAGAATGTACTCTTCAAAGTAACAATAACAATAATAAAAATACAGTTCATTAAAACTTTTTTTTTTTTTTAAGGAATATCACACAATATCACAATTTTTCATTTATTTAAGCAGCATTTTTTTTTGCCAAAGAATAAAAAGAATTGTTCAAATTTAATTTGAATATATTTTAAAAGATGAATTGTTGTATAATAATTTGTATTCATAAATCGCATCATAATTCATCATGAAACACAGAATTTATGAAAAATAAGACCGGGCACTATTATTGTTAAAATTGTAATTATGAAATTCAAGTTATTAAATTGTTAAAGTTGTTTTAATTCAATTGATTAGACATCTTTCTTAGTATAAAAATTGAACTCAGCCATTAAAACCGAATCCAGAAAAAAATTAAATGGAAAACACAGTATGTAGGAAGAAATAAAACTTATTTCATTGGGCCATAGTGGTTGACCGATATGAGTTATTTAAAGAGCAGGGTGGCAATATACAGCTGATCTGTGATCTAAAATTTTATTAAAAGATATTAACACAGTAAATTTAATATTTATTTGACACAATCGTTGCTTTCAAAATAAAGTTATTTGTCCTGAAAACGTTTCATTTTCATTTGGCATTTGCGTTGTTTTGCATTGGTAACAAGCCTCTATGCTTTCATGATTGTGATTGCAAAACTTTCAAGTAGATATTCTCTTAATTTGTGTGAGTGCAATAATTGATAATGAAAAAAAAATAATAATCGTGATTAAGCGTTTACCCATTATAATGCTGCCCTAGCCTCAGTTCAGTCAAAATAAAAGGAGGACTTGTCAGCAAATTCAATGGTAATGCCAAATATCGATCATCCTTTGTAAATAGCTTTCTGTCATGACAACTCTTGGAGGGATTGGCATGGTAATGTACATGACAATGTTAATGTATTTGGTCTTGTGGCAGAGCAAGAGCTACTGCCAATACATCCACAAAATGCTGCTGTGAGCATGTAAGAAATACTGCTGCTGCACATATAACATATATGAAATAACCCCCATATAGCATACATGAATCACCTCATAGCAGATCTATACAGGTGGAGCTGGGGAAGGTGGAGGGTTTCTGAAGCAAGCTCTAGTCATATATTTGAATGTTGAGCAGCGAGCTCATTGGCTACCGATACAGGAGAGAGCCAATCAGCTGTGCCATGTGATAATGATGACATTAGGTCAGATTGAGTTAGACCTATCGGACTGCGCCATCTAGAGTTTCATGCCAGAACTCTGTATTTATTAGATTGTGTTTTCAAAGACTCCTGGATTTCTTTAGTTATTTTCTCTGTTTCTTTGATGTTCACATTACATAAATGTATTGTATATTCCTTCCGAGTGCGTTGATTTCTGTGTGCCTTGTTTTTGGTTGATGTCTCAGGCATTCAGCGACGAAAGGCATCATCATCGCTATGATTTGCACATTCTTCGAAGCCTTCAACGTGCCAGTGTTCTGGCCCATCCTCGTAATGTATTTCATCATGCTGTTCTGCATCACCATGAAACGGCAGATCAAGGTTCGGAAGTGGAAGCTTTTCTTTCCCAGCTATTTTATTTCACAAAGCTGAGTTATCTAAAAATAGAGTTTCATTTGCACTGAAACTGAAGTTCTTTGACACTGTTTGTGTTTCCTCTGCAGCACATGATCAAGTATAGATACCTGCCCTTCACACATGGGAAGAGGACTTACAGAGGCAAGGAAGACACAGTGAAAACCTTTGCTAGTTAAAATTCCCCTTCCTGAAATTAAAGTTATTGATGAAGAATTATGCGTAAAGGGGGTTGAGGGTTTTTTTTTCTTTTCTTTTTTCTCTTTTGCTTTCTTTTTCCGAGTAAGGAAAAGCCAAGCCGGTTGAAACTTTTGAGCGACATGGATACTGTAATGCTGCCTTTAAGCGTTTGGGCCTTTGAGAAATGCTGTTGAGAGCTTCTACACTGGCAAATGTTAATATATTTGGACAACTAAGTATGAGATTTGACTCATTATTTTCTCAGTGGTCCCCATTCTTCTTCAAACCTAGAGGATTTGATAGACTGTCTTCTCCAGTAGAGATTTTAAAATGGTAGTTCACTTGGAAATGCTCATTTTTCAGTCATTTACCCACCTTCGTGTCATTTTCAATCAATATGGCTTTTTTCAGTGGAAAACAAAAGATGATGATATTTAGCAGAATGCACGTGCTGCTCTTTTCCATAGCTTTAATGTTATGGAAAATAGCAGCATGAATATAATCTCATTTTGCGTTTCACTAGTGGAAAAATCTTATTGGTTTGGAATTAAATGAGGGTGAGAAGTGGACAGCTACATGATTATTTATGAACATGGGAATATAATCTAAAATAGTGGGAAGAGTTGTCATTTGTATAATTAATATTGATGGGGAAAAGAGAGAGGGCGTTTAATATTCATACCGTGGTACGTTTGGTGTCCTCCATAGTTAATATCATTAGATTCAGTATTCAGATGAACGTAAGACGCTTCCGTGAGAGGGGAGACGTTATCGATCATAGGTTCCATCTTGCCATATGTTAATATTTGCCTTTTATGAACATTTGTAATTCTCTTAATGTGCTGTAGCATTGTATTTAATTTTTGTACATAGTTGCCCACCTTAATCACATCCATTCTTGCTGTTTGTAAGTTATTCTTCAGTAGTTTAAAACCCCCTCACCTTGTACATCAGGTTTTTTAAAGCAAGCGTGCATTCCATTAAAATAGTATGATTCAAAAATATTGGCTATATGTTTTTATCGTTTAAGCATTCCCAGTAAAAACTTTCTCTCTTTTTTTCTTTTACAGAGGAAACATAAAGTTGAGTGCTTTAACTATTACAAATGGATGGAGAGGGTTGAAGTTTTTTTGTTTTTGTTTTTGTGCTGGGCCATAACTACTAGTATAGATTTTTTGTTTTAAAAAAAAAAAGGCAAATGGAAAGAACTTCAATAATCATTGGAGATGAGATACATTTTCCTATTAAAGTGCTTTTTTTTTTTTTTTTTGGAGGGGGAGATATATATATTAAAATGTATATTTTTTAATGGTTAGCATGTTTGAGTTTTTTTTTTTTTTGGACAATGGCTTTTTTACTGTATTAAATTAATCTTCATCAAAACAAAATACTAGATTTGTTAATTCCTGATTAAAGACATTGCATGTTTTAGGTTTTCTTGTGCTGCTGATTAAGAGAAAACAAGATGATTTTAATAACTAAGTGTAAATTTTTAACTCCAAATGCTATTAAAAGGCTGTGTCCCTTCACTGCTCATTACTTTTTTTATTGTTTAATTTTAATTACATTGAATTAATTAATGAACTGAGTTGTATCGGTAATTATTTTTTAACGATGTCCTTGTTAAAAAGTAAATAATGCATAATTACATGTAGCCAGCCCTAAACCAAACACTAACCCTATAATAAATACATAATATATATATATATATATACTGTAACAAGGAGACCTTCAAAAATAAAATGTAACCATGATTCTACAGAATACTATGGGTTAGTCAGAAATGAAGATAAGGTAAAATGTAATGGTGCATACACATATTAATTTGTAATGCACAGAGAAGAACTATAAGCTTTTGTAGTGCTGAGATAAACACCATCTTACAACACTTTACATTTGCAAATATAGCACAGAAGCTCCGAAAAGACACTTCCACTTAATTGAATTAATTAATGAACTGAGTTGTATCGGTAATAATTTTTTAACGATGTCCTTGTTAAACAGTAAATAATGCATAATTACATGTAGCCAGCCCTAAACCAAACCCTAACCCTATAATAAATACATAATATATATATATATATACTGTAACAAGGAGACCTTCAAAAATAAAATGTAACCATGATTCTACAGAATACTATGGGTTAGTCAGAAATGAAGATAAGGTAAAATGTAATGGTGCATACACATATTAATTTGTAATGCACAGAGAATAACTATAAGCTTTTGTAGTGCTGAGATAAACACCATCTTACAACACTTTACATTTGCAAATATAGCACAGAAGCTCCGAAAAGACACTTCCACTTAAAAATGCAAGAATGGCATTGCATTAGATAGCAAAACATAAGGGTTTTTCTTTCTACTTCAAAATGTCATGTTTAATTCAATTGGTAAATTCTTGTTTCTTTGTAATTGTGAAATTTACTATCAATTTCCGAGTGAAAACTCTTTCTACACCAATTTTTTTGTGCACTTCCAGACTTAGTTTTGTGGTATTGTAGAGAAAGACATTTTCCTGTAGGGTGCAGCAATGTCACAGCCATCGTGTCGTTCTGGCAAAATGCGTCGAAATAATACTTTTTATTCCATTATACGAGTTTCTCATAAATTTAACGTCAACTATGTCATTATATTTCAAATTTGATGTGTTAAAATTTTATTTGAAGTTATAACAATAATTTTGCAGCCTAGTGGCTGTTATCGGAAACGCCCCCGCTGACGTCACCGCGTACCGTGGACCTACAGCTACCGGAGCGTCACGACCGAGTCCGTGCTAACGTTACTCCTCTTCTCAGCCGGTGTGCGGCTGCTCTCCTAACTTAACCCCGTCAGCCGGCAATGAGCGAACGCTATCACTCACTTTTCTCCAGGAAAACCCCGGCGAACCGGCTGTTTCCCTGCCTATCCGTTGCACTTCCGGGTTCCGAGCAAGCGTCTTTTCCTGAGGATCAGCTGTGATGATCGAGTGAGCGACTCCTGAAGGCTGTGCTCCCGGTAATCGCAGTGCACGGTTGAAGACAGCGTGGCAGGAGGATTCCCGGATAAAGCTGCTTCCTTGCTGCCACTCATCTCATGTATTATGAAAAGCTGCTGTTTTGAGCATGAAGATGTGCCAATGGTGACTCATCCTGCCGCTCTGATATAGTACGAGTTGTTTTGGGTCGTTAACACTTGGTTGATATTGTGATGAAGGTCCGCTGAGCTCGGAGTCTCCATCCGGACTGTATTATATCGAGAGATTGTCGCGCTTTCTCTGTATTTTGCGCATCCCACCGGCTGGAGAGCGACGCGCGCGCGAGAGCCTGGCGGCTTTTCATGATTTAATGAGAATTAAAGTGCTGCCGGTTGGACAATGAAGAAGTTCTTCGATGCCCGTCGGGAGATGGTGAGCTCTGGACCCGCGTCTGGAGCCGCTGCGGGGGGCGGCGCGGGGTCCGGCGCGTTTATCGGACGCGTTTTCTCCATCGGACGATATCAAGTGACCGTGGAGGAGACTGTGGCGGAGGGTAAGCGACTTTATGCGTTCAAACAGCTAATGAAATATTTGTGCTGGGGATGCTTTTATGGTCTATGACTGAGGAAATCAATAAATAATGATGCTTTATTGACTCTGAGCCTCTGGCGTCGCTCATGCGTCATCTGCATGGAGTGAGCTGTGCTGCCTCAGCAGAGGAGGCTTACTTTACATCCTTAACACCAGAATTAAATTTGGTGATCATTTACCTACCCTCGTGGTGCTACGGGCCTGTATGACCTAGTTTCTTCTGTGGAAGTATAAAGGAGATGTTTAGCAGAATGTCAAAGCTGCTCTTTTCCACATAGTGAAAGTGGATGGAGGCTAGAGATGTCAAAGCTCCAAAAGTGACAAATACAGCCATAAAAGTAGCATTAAAGTAAATCAAATGACTCGTGAATACGTTTTACAAATGTTCTGAAATCATGTTAATTTTAGTGAGGAACAGTTTCAAATTTAAATCATTATTAATTGAAGATCTCGCCCTAAGCCTGTATGTAGCCTGTCAACAGCAAGTTTGACATGATGCCAAACTGTATTGATTCTTTTTTTTATAAGCCATATTTATGTCTTTTGATCATTATTAAAGCAAGAGATCACAAAATATATTTACAAATGTTCTGAAATCATGTGTTAATTTTAGTGAGGAACAGATTCAAATTTAAATCATTATTCATTGAAGATCTCGCCCTAAGCCTGTATGTAGCCTGTCAACAGCAAGTTTGACATGATGCCAAACTGTATTGATTCTTTTTTTTATAAGCCATATTTATGTCTTTTGATCATTATTAAAGCAAGAGATCACAAAATATACAAGTTCCGTAATAACTTTAATAATTTACTCACTTTAATGTTGTTCCAAACCCAATTTCTGCCATAGAACTTAAAAAATATTAGGCCCAGACTCCTTTTTCACTTATTATTATTATTAGTGCTGTCAAATGATTAATCACATTCAAAATAAAAGTTTTTGTTTACATAATATATGTGTGTGTACGGTGTATATTTATTATGTATATATAAATACACACGCATGCATGTATATATTTAAGAAAAATAAGTTGTTTATATTTTAAATATATTTATATATATAATATACATTATATGAATATAAATATATAGATGTAAATACATATTACATACACATATATACATAATACATACTTTCGAAATATATACTGTATGTGTGTGTATTTATATACATAAATATACACAGTACACATATATTATGTAAACAAAAACTTTTATTTTGAATGCAATTAATCGCGATTAATCGTTTGACAGCACTAGTTATTACAAAATTATATTTGCATCTTGCCATATTTATAGGGTGACCATACGTGCCATTTTTCCAGGACGCGTCCTGGCCAGGATTTCTATATTGCCTAAAAAAATCTAGGTTTTGGCTTTGTTTGCGTGTGCAGACCGATCGGTGTATGACATCAAAGTACCATACAGACGGTTATGCTTTCGAAACACTCTCGAGGTACTTTGATGTCAAACACTGATCGGTCTGCACACGCAAACAAAGCCAAAACCTAGATATTTTAGGCAATATAGAAATCCTGGCCAGGACG